TAGTATGCTGACCGTGGGTGTTTTAAGGTGCAACAAATTTCAAGTTACTTCAATCTTATTAGTAAAATAATCCAACACAAGGAGAGGTGTTTCAGATGAGAGAACACTATTTTGACAGATAATACATTTCTCAGGCTCCTTAAGCACAGAACTTCACATAGCAATATTATCAATATTAAAATAAGCCTCAAGACTGAGGCTTATTTACATAACAATTAGAACTATAAATCGAACCACTTTGGAGACTTTTAAAAAGTTGAAACCTCTTGTCTAAGTTTAAGGACAGGACTCCTCTATAGATGTTTGTCACTCACTGATACAATCAATGCAAATCTTATTGGCTTCAGTGACCTGGACTGAACTTTAATCTTTTTGGCAACAAAATTAGAGAACAGCAGAATGAACTACTACTCAAGCACACCACCCTCTTTGGTCTTTCCATACAACATGTTGATGGATATCTGTATTCTAACATAGATACCTCTGCTTTCCAAATCAATCACTCCTTTCAGGGATTACAGGACATGTACTCTGTTCTGCCATTGTTTTTTTTTTCTCAGCCTTGGGGTCATTTTTCCAGTACTTTCATTTTAGCAAATAAGAGAGGAAGGGAAAAATTCTGGAAGTCATACACACAGCTCAACAGCACTTTGCATGTGGAGATCTGTCAGCAGACAAGCTGCTAATATCTACATAGGAAACGCAAGTAATAAAATGCATAAGCCTCCAAGGAACATGTTTTGGGCATCTTGCACAATCCCAATTTTCTGTATAGCCACGACAGCAATAAGACATGTGGCTGCTTCCTGTGAAGCACAACCATTATTAATGATTATATCTATTATGATCAATAAATACCATTGCTGTTTTGACAAGCTATTTATCTATCAAATACATAAAGCCTAATATAACCCAGGCTTATTACAATTTACTAGCAATACCATTTTTGGAGGTGCATTCATTTCTAATAGCTTTCTCTTTTGATGTTAATTAATGAGACACTTCATTGTGCATGCAGCTCTCTGAAAAGTCTTCATACTAGAGCCTCCACCAAGGCATGATATTTGCCAGCATTCAAATCAACCCTGTAAGGATCATCTGTCACACTCAGTATCTGTAAAGGAGAGAGAGATGAGGGAATTGGAACACTAAAGAGGACAGACTATAATTTTCTTCCTCTGATGGTTCATCTGCTTGTTATTTTGTTTGCTGCTGGGTTTTCTACTTTTAAGTTTCTGTATTTCAAAATTGAATGAAAAACACAAGACTTTTCAGATGGAAGGAAATGAGGTACCTTCCACAGTTCTAGTCACTAGAACCAGAAGGGAGAACCTTTAACACCAAAAACCTATTTTGTCTATTATTTCCCACCTGATGCAATGACCTGAAGATAAATACCTCTTTGGAACAGCAGAGAAGGAAAGAACAAAGACCATGAAGCATCATATAGAAATCAGTCTTTCTTAGGAGCCTTGTAAACCTCTACACCTTCTGGATGATCACCAAAGTGAGACAGGTGATTGTAATAAAAAAACAACCTGTAATTACAAAAGTTTCAGAACAAAAACTCTTTTTAAAAACTATGTTTTCTAGCTGTGTGAATTAAGGTTCACTCAATTTATACGAAAAACTAGTTTGGTTAGCCTTTCAACTAATGAAATCTGATTTCCAGTAATTGTGAGTCTTGTGGGTGCCTGGGTTTTTAACTGAATTAATCTGAAAGCTACAGCATGGCCTCTCCTTGTAGTAGAAATTTTAAAATACTGATTCACTTTCCTGAGAAAAAGCCCATTAAAGGCTTTAATAAAATGTTGCCAGCTATTTGACATTAAAAAAATCTGTTTTTCAGTCATAATTCTTCCTCTAGTAAAGCAGATACTTTAGGAATGAAATATTTTTGTGTTTAAGGCATTTATAATACCTTTCTCCCAGGTGGATTTTCTGATGTCTAGTAATCACTCATGCCAGTCTTTTTTCCTTCTGCAGGAATATTGGCTCAATCTGTCTTCGCAGACAGCTGCCTTTACAAAAAACATGCAAGACTTAACATCTCTGAGCTCTCTGTTTTGTTTTGGTTTTTTGGTGGGCTTTTGTTTGTTTGTTTGTTAATGTGGTATCAGTTGAAAAAAATAAAAAATTTGCAACAAGGAGTTTGAAACATGCACAAAAATACATTACCTTAATAAAGTAGACTAAAAGGAGTGATAAAAACAAAGAATACCTTATACAGCTATGAAGTACTTTTTGTGTGACTAGACAGCAGAGCTAAACTACTGGATCCTTTTTAGATAGTTTTTAGTTTGTCATTATATTATAGTCCAAACCTCAACAGAGCTTGACAAAGAAGCATGATGAAGTTGTTGCAGAAAGGATCCACTGATGTATCACACTTAATCATTGGACCAATTCTGAAGAATAAAAGCACTCTCCACGTGATGTTGCTCTTTCATCATCCTGCAGACTGAAGCTTTGGCAGTGTATACTAGGAGTGCTAAGAAACAAAGCTGAAAGATAAAGAAGACTTGGAAATGGTCATGATTTCCAGTGACTTGGTCACTAAAATAAATCTGAAACAAATGGGAGACGAGGCCTTTGAACTCTAACAGGAGGATAAGCATTTGTTTACTTAAGACTACTCAGCTGTATAACGATGTCTGTGAATTTCCAAAATTTTGGCCAAATATCTGATGTAAGCAAGAAGTTCAGCAAGCATCTCTGCATGTGTTTGTAGTTCTACAAGTGGGGGATATAAGAAGCTCCAGAATGCCCATTCTGTAAGGTCTCCACTTATAATGTAGTTAAAGTCTATAGCCATTGGAAAGCCAGTATCCTTTGTAGCAAGGATACACCTCTACCCTCAGAGCCAACCTCCTTACTTTTTCACAGTGAAAGTCTGCCATTTTAAACAAGGTGACAGTAACTATTGACTATATGTGTGTATATGTATCTATACATAAACTTTGCAGCAATGAATCATAGAATGGTTTGGGTAGGAAGGGATCTTAAAGATCATCTAGATCCAACCCCCCATGCACTGACAGCTCCCACTAGACCAGGTCGCTCAGAGCCCCATCCAAACTGCCCTTTAACACTTCCAGGGATGGGGCTTCCACAGCTTCCCCGGGCAACCTGTTCCAGTGTCTCACCACACTTCATATTGAAGATTTCCTTCCTAACATCTAATCTAAACCTACCTTCCTCCAGTTTAGAGCCATTACCCCTTGCCCTATTACTACATGCCCTTGTAAAGAGGTCTTCCCAGAGCCTTCCCTTCCCCAGGCTGAGCAATCCCACCTCTCTCTGCCTTCACAGCAGAGCCGCTCCAGCCCCCTCACCTCCTTTGTGACCTGCTCTGTGGCCTCGCTCCGACAGCTCCACGTCCTCCTTGTGTTCAACCCTGTCTTTCCTCATCCCACCCAGCTCCTCCCCG